GTCAAAACCACAGAGGAATTAGTTTAATCAACATTGCATCTAAACTCCTCGCTGGTATCATACTCCGCCGATTGTCTGCCTCACGTGAACGGTGTACGCGTGAAAACCAGGCTAGTTTCAGACCTGGTCGAGGTTATATCGACCACATCTTCAGTCTTCGTCGAATTCTAGAACACAGACATTCCTTTTGTAGACCCATCACTTCTATCTTCCTGCATCTGAAAGCGGCTTTCGACTCAGGTGGCGGACTGTCTGATCTAAAGTATGCAGACGACATTGTGCCACTAGGTGATGATCCAGGTAAGTTGCAAGCTTTTCTGGATAGTTTGAATGCTAGTGTATCCATATTCAAAGTGTAAAATGTTGCTACAAGATTGGGTTGATCCAGCACCCAGTCTCACCATGACTGGGGAAGTAGTAGAAGTAGACGAATTTTGCTATCTGGCAGCTATATCTCACCTGGTGGACGCATCACAGATGAAGTGTCGGCGCGCATACAGAAAGCTCGGTTGGCATTTGCCAACCTGAGGCATTTGTGGCGCCGTCACGACATCCGGCTGTCTGTGAAGGGTCGGGTGTATGCTGCAGCAGTTCGGCCAGTACTGCTCTACGGTGCCACTACGGGAACAGGAGTATGGTGGGGGAACCGGACTAGCAATGCTGCGGTTAGGCGTAGAGTTTTAGTTAATCGAAGCCGTGCACTGGAGCAAGTGATCGACCTCCATAGATTACATTGGTTGAGACATGTTTTACGCATGTCACCAAATAGGTTGCCACGACGAGTGATGTTAGCCGAGGCATTTAGTGGTTGGACAACGCTCAAGGGCGGTCAGACGAAGACCTGGCATGAGGGTATGAAAACCCTAACCAGGAGACTATGTCATATAGGCCTCGTTAGGCTCCCTGGCTGGGGATCTCGGGATGATGGTCACCGATGGTTAGGGATACTAAGTGATATGGCTGGATGTGGCAAAGAGTGGTGCTCGTGCATCCACTCATTATTCCCCTAGCATCATTCTGTATGAATTCGCCATCTTCTACTTGAATTTGCTTTCAACATACCAATTTTCATTCTGCTCTTTTATCCAAATGGGGCGCTAAAAGACAGCCACCAAAACCAGCCCACGAAAGTGCATGGTTAATGATTGTAAAAACAGAACAGAACAGAACCTCGATTTACTCCGAAAACCAAAATCCACGTTTAGGTAGTATTCGGCAAAATGACATCCCGTGTTTCATGTCTTGTGTGATTTTTCGAAGTTTGACTCATTTACGGTTTATCAAAATAGCTTGCCTAGTTACCCCTCATTGTCTCCCTCCACAGTTACAGGTCGTATTGGACTGGCTCCATATCTTTCATGGCTCCAATACATAGCTTTTTAACGGGATTTGTGGCACGCAGTCTGGTCGCGGTCATCCTGGACCCCTTCTTAGTGGTCAAAACCCATGCAGAATCTGGTCGTTTTACTGACCGATCCATGTGGGCTGCGATAAAGCGCATTCATAGTCAAAGTGGATGGCGAGGTATGTTAATCGAAACAATTTGATTCAGTGAATTTATCTAGAAGAGCGCAGCGCGCCAACCAGACGGTTTAAACAGACGAATTCAAGACGCAAGCGGACTCTGTGTATGTATAATTTTGTAAAATGCACTATCCGGCACTATTCCGATCTCTTCGCTGGTCCCCTCTGTGCAATCACTTGTGATTTACAAAAAATACAGAGAAACTTGCCAGTTAGCTGTCAGTCGTGCGACTGATAGATCTTCACTTCAGTGTTTGACACACAGCATCCCCCTACTGGATGTGTCGAAGGAGATAGACAGTGCCCGGTGCCAAACGAGAACCAGGTGTGCAAATAAAGGCGCCAATCACTCCATCCAATGAACAAGCAGCAAGTTAGGGCAAAGTCATTACTCACATTCAGGCTGTAAAATCAAGAAGCAAAATTATAACAGCTATAGTGCTGAGAGTAGGAAACACAGACAAGTTACTGGTTAGGAATGTACAAATTCCGTCGGCGGACAAAGCAGTAACAACTTGAAGTGGTCAAACGATGAGTGACTTGATCCTGACAAACAAAGCGACGGATTAATCGCATCGTAGACTATCCGGGTTAAAACATAACATATTTCCCCAAGCGTTGTGCACCAAAATTATCAATACAGTCCATGTTTCACAATCGTACAAAACCCTAATCTGTCCCGTTTATGCAGCATTTGCAACCATTAATCGGGTGATGTCCTCTGCTCCACGGTCTACTCCACAAACCACTTTGCATTATCGATTACCCTTCCCCCTCCCCAACATCCAGCTTACAAACTCTAACCCACCTCCGGGCAACCACCTCATTATCCTTTTTATGGCTACTCGGTTCTCCTGAGTTTTCCTCGTGTGTTCTCCCTGTCAGAGAAGGTTTTCTGTTGCCATCTATCCTTTCCGAGTGTGTCTTCCGGACTGCAGCACGGCTAGGTTTTAAGCAATTTTCCCACAGCGTTTATGTTAAGGATCATCTTCCTGCAACATATAGCCTCCTGGCTTCTAAATGTAAAACCGACAGGGTGTAATCATTGTCACTGTTTTCCTATTTTATCCCCGTAGTGTAGTATGTGTTTTATCACCCGTTTGATCCTTTTCACATAAATTGTCGTTGTTCTGTGACTTGGGGAGGAGTATATAGCATGGTGGAATATGGTAAACAAACTGTACAAAATTGTGCAATCTCTTTGAATCCTTGTGCATTCCACTGTGCTTGCCTTTCATCTTTCCCCCGCCATTACACACCCTGCAGGTCTCTACAGCGGTGTTGTAGCAACAATTGCCCGTGATGGTCCCTACTCTGGATTGTATTATGTTGCTTACTCGGGAATCAAACCGCTGTTTCTACTGGCTTTCCCTAATGAGAATGGTCATTCAGGTGCGTAGTTTTTCCAATTTTCTATGGCTCGTGCTGGTTCGGTTAATAATTATGTAAACTTGAATTTTTTTCAACGTGGGTAATCTATACAATGGTCGGTGGAAAGTCCGCACTGGTGCTGAGTTTGCCGATGCTAGTCCTATCTAACCAACAATAACTATCAATAGTGTATTAAATCTTCAAGCTTTACTTGTCTGAAAATTGCTCTCCTAAATGAAAACGATGATATCGTGTAGAGACGATGAACCCTCAATTCGGGAATCACGGTAGGGGGAACAGTTCTTCGAGATTTTTTGAAAGATCAATCGAGTCAGTGCATGTCACGATGTTGCGCTTGGGTTCATGTGACTTGTGACGGTGATCGGCGACTTTCTCATTTACTTTTTAGTTCCACCCCCAATGATACCCACAGTTGGGGAAAACGTCTGATAATATTAAGTTCAATTTCTTCTGGTACTCATGCGATAAAGGGCTTCAGGAGTTCTTCCATTTCCCTTGAAGTACATCAACTCTAAATTATTATTCGACCTACAACAACCATTGATGTTTCTGGTTGTCGATGACAACATCTATTCACTCGGGTGTCGCATTGGCAATAGTCAAATGATTTACGTTTCTGGCGTTACTGACGAGCATTACTACTTCCTTTCTCTCCGTCAGACCTTTTTGTTCTGGCCTGATATATCATATGCTGCTTCAAACACTAGGATGGAGAGAGAATTGTATTGATCTCATTGTGCAGTGTGCTTCCATTCCTGTGGAATGGTATCTTTTGCTTTGCACATGGCTATCAAGTGCATTAGTTATACGAATACCAATCATTTCCGTTTATTTGATGTATAACAGTTACACATTCGGGAAGGAGAATGCAGTCAGATCTGTGAATACGTAATTCGACCGACTGTGACAGGATTCGAATGGACAAACTTCGAGGTAATGTTTTGACGCCTGATCCCGGTAGATCATCACAGTCATGAATCGGCTAAGCTATTTTCGACTGCACCTATTCCGTTTTACTGTTGCAATAATTCAGGCTAATTTCCCGCATTACATTTTCATGCCAAATAGATAACACAATTGAGTAGTGCACATCGCACACCGCTAATCGTATGGCGTGCTTCTTGTCTTACTTTCATATTGTAGTAAATTCCATTCTTGCGGTGGCTTCGTGTGCCACTGTTGCCTCGTGTGTTGCGGCGGGGATTACTCAACCGGCTGCCGTGCTTCGTGTCCAGCGCCAACTCATGCTTACTCCTGCTTCCCGCAATATTCTTCTCGGTGCGGATCAGCCCAGAGTGCAACTGAACTGGCGTACTGTATTCCGGACTGTTTACCAAACCGACGGGCTGCGCGGTTTATGGCGTGGATTTCTATTCCGACTGTTACGTCGCACGGGAGTGGGTGTGATCAGTTGGACACTGTATGAACATTTGACTTGACTTAACAACGGACAACAACGCGTGCAAATTCGAATCCAACTGGGAATTCTAGTCCTCTCGAAAAAAAATGTAAAAAGAGCTCCCGGTTATTTTTTTGCCATTTTTTTTTAGCTCCGAACTCCGTGAAATCGATTTTTATTCCTATTTTTCATGTCTTTATTTCGCANAGTGGCGACCCATTACACAGTTTGCCACACAACTGCTGATCTTTCCCACCCAATTACGACCAGTTTTTGTTTCCGGAGACCGACGCCAATCCGAATAACGATTTACACAGCATACTTTTTCATCCACGGATGGAGAAAAGCATCAACTGGTTGTCGAATCGCGTTCGCTGCAGAGGGCTGTAGTATTATTTCAGTACTTTGATTCTGTATTCTACTCACTCTCTCACTCCCTATGGGGACTGCCCCGTACCCGCGCATTTATTTGTCACAAATGATCACGCCCTTGGATTCCGATAAATGAACTACGCAAATACCTTTCTTTTCTAATCGACACAGCGGTGTCACGCTTTGAATCAGTGGGAATCACAATGCTCTTTAGGTTATGTTTGAACAAGCAAGTGAGTGCGTTCATCTCCACCACTGAAAGATCGATTGTGACATGAGGGTATCAGTAATGATCTGATTTACCGAACATTCTGGCCGGCGTGGGCCATTCCGGGGGTAGCAGCTTAACGCTTGACGCAATGACAATTGTTGTTAACGCAAAACCTGTTGAACGATTTCTGTGGGATCTGAAAGTGGACCAGCTGATAAGAACGAACATCTCTTTTCTCTTTCCTACTCTCCTCGGATTCAGATTACCGCAGGAGAGACCGGGCCGGCCAACAGTTTGAAGATCATGTTCAGTGTTCTTCTTTTAGCAATAGTTCGCGTTCGTTCGCTCTGGCAATAACGCCATGCCATGGTTTTGCTTGTCTCCGCACCGTGTCCCTGTTTTCGTGCCCTGGAGCTATTTCGAATGCTCAGTCATCATTTCGGCAACAGCCGGATGACAACTTGCCCTTCTGTCTCATGAATGTCTCTCATCCTCACACGGCCGAAAGCTGTAGACCGGAGATAGTCGTGGAGGCATTTTGCCCGGGCCATATGACAAAATAAAACTCACATGTATTCTCTCGCCTTTGTACACAGCAGAATGACGCTCGGGCCATGAACGTACGGTCCGTAAACGCAGAATTGACAGTAGGCTTGCGGGCTCACTCATAGAACAGTCAGAACGCCAGTCCAAACAACTAGTCGTAAGATAATTCTAAATCATTTTGACATTGTGAAGAAACGATTCTGTCCTCGTGCGAGGATGGCGGTCTCAGCGTACTGTTAGAATGCAGGCTGTCTGATGTGGCGTGTGCAAACGACGTGTTGTTGAGAGAAGAGCCGCATGATTTATAAGCTCTTTTGTATGGTTTGACTGTTAGTATAGCTTTGATCGACACGTTTTGCACTTCCAACATGTAAAATTCTTCCATAGGGTTGTGTAGGTCCAGTTTTCAATCTCACTTTTTTTTTTACCAGGGGAGGCACTAAAGAAAGCAGACAGGTTTCATCATGTGAGTAGTACATCTCACCTGGCGGGCGCATCACGGATG